GTGCTGGGGAGACAATGGTGGAAAATGGTGGCGGATGGTGGCTAGTGTATGTGTGGTAAAAAAAAAATTTGAAAACTCAAAATGAAAACACGATTTTATTTTGTATTTTTATTTTTTGGCCAAATTTATAAACTGAGACCACTGATTTATAAATCAAAAATTTTACCAAACAAGTTTTTATTTGAGTTTTTTAAATTTTTATAAATATAAACAAAAAACTAAAAACGTAAGTGTTATCAAATGGCAGTATTTTGTTTTTCGTGTTTTTTTATTTTTAGTGAATATTTTTTAAATTTTAAGTAAATTTTTTACTTTTTTAGATGCATTTTGCTTAAATGCATTTAAAATATTTGTGAAAAAATATTTTTAAAAATTAATAAATATACAAAAATACAAAAATGTACTAAATTTTCATAATTTTTTTTTGTATTTTTTTTAAAAAAAATTCATAAATATTATACTTTTTAAGTGTGTTTTTATTAGGTGTGTCTAAAAATAAAAATAAAAATTACTAAAAATATTTAAAAATTCATTAAAAGTATTAAAATATGAAAAATTAAAAAAAAAACAGGAACTTTCTGAAAACTATTTTATGAAAACTAAAACCAAACAAGGTCGGTTCGATAAAATTCAGGTGAGGTATAAAAAAATAAAAAATAAAGGCAATCAAATGAAGGAGCACTCACCGTTCTGTATCGCAGCAGGCGTTGGAGTCGGTTGTTCCGGTAGCGAAGTCATCAATTGTTCTGAAAGCGGAATCGATCTCGCCGGAGCTGGTTCGTGTTCTCTCTCGATCTCTAGTGTAATATCTAAATCTTCCAGTCCTTCAAAACAATCAGGAGACATGCCATCAAGAAAATCAGTAGACATGTTGTGGGTATGTAAAAACACACCTTTGACCGTTCATGAATCACAAAGGCCGCATTACAATAAATAGAGAGATCAGAGAGCTCGAGGACTGGTTGGTATGACCGGTTTGAATGGTTGGTATGACCGGTTTGAATGGTTGGTATGACCGGTTTGCTCTCCGTTCAACTATAGTTGAGTTGGTGTAACCGGTTTGAATGGTTGTGGAGTTGGTATAACCTGTTTGAACGGTTGTGAATGGTTTGGCCACTGTCCAAAAAAAGTGGATGTGACTAGTAGTTTTGGACTGTTGTTTGAATGGTTTCATCTACGTCATACAAACAAACAAACAGGGGTCGAGTGATAGGGATGACCTGTTTGAATGGTTGGGGTGACCGGTTGAAGGTTGGGGTGACCGGTTGAACGTGGGGTGACCGGTTGAATGGTTCTTTGCACGGTTTGGTCCCCATTCAACTCCAAGCGCGTGGAATTGACCTGTTGGTGTGATCTATCCGAATGGTTTGGTCTCCGTTTCAAACCACAGCATATTATATTGTTTGTATGGCGACAGACTGGTTGTTGTGACCGTTTTGAAAGATTTGGTCTCCGTTCAAAAAAGCCCGAGCTTTTCCTTATTTGTGTGTGGATTGAGTGGTTGGTGTGACCTGTTTGGACGGTTGCCGTAAGCCAAAGATGACGTTGACTATTGCCCTCGACCTCTGTGCAAGCTTTGGTGACGCCATAATTAATTAAAGATATTATCTTATAGAATATAGTATTTCATAACCAAAAAAACAAAGAGTGAACACCATAAATTTCAAAATGTGATCTTATGAATAGTTTAGTCTTTCATTTTTTCTTATAAACTTAAAGGTTCCATTAAAATAAAAAATATATAAAAAGATAGTTACTTACAAATTTGGGTTTAATTTTCAAAGATAAAAGTGGATTTCTCTAAATATAAAATTACACATTTGGACAATTCACATTATAGAGGTTTTGAATTTTCCCTCCTAAAACAAATCCCACATTACGGAAAAAAAATATAACACTAACATAACATCCAATGTAAAACACAAAAAACTTTTTGATGCACTTTTCCCAAACGTAACACTCCAAAAAAACTCATTACTCTATTTTTTCCAAACGTAACACTCTAATGTAACACAAAAAAAAAAAAAAATTCCTTGGTATACTTTTTTCGAACGTAACACTCCAATCAATATAATCTCAAACATAACACACCAATGTAACACATAAAAATCCTAAAAAATTCCTTAATGTAATTTTTTTTTTTTATAAATGTAACACTCATAATTTAAAATTATACATTTGCTCAAAACTTATTAAGGAATTTTTATATTCCTTTTGGAATGATTTGAAGCATCCCAGATCATTTTTTTGGAATGTTACGTTTGGAAAAAGTACTCCAATTTTATTTTATTTTTTTGTGTTACATTGGAATGTTACACTAGAATTTTTTTGGAGTGTTACGTTTAAAAAAAGTACATTAAGAATTTTTTTGAATGTTACATTGAAGTGTTGAGTTTGAGTGTTATATTAGAGTGTTACAGTTTGAAATTATACATTTGCCAAAGTTTACTAAGGAATTTTTTTACTCCTTTTAAAATGTTTTCTAAATCAAAAAGATTCTCATATAAAAATTCATCCCAAATTTGATTATCATAAATTGTGTACATTACCTTCCTAGCATAAAAGAAAAAAAGAGACCGAAAATAATAGAAATAAGAGTATAATAATAAATTTAATTTGTAAATAATATATTAAATCAACATTTCCAAAATCAATGGGACTAATTGGTCTATAAAAAAAAATTAGAACTAAATGGATCATTATTCCTTAAAATGTGATTTATAGATAAATTTTCCTCCAAAAAAATTATTTAAATCTAACAAGTCATTGAAAAAAAATTTACTTAAAATATTAAAAATTTCAGTGAAAAAAAAAACACACGCAAATTTATTTTAAAAAAAAAACTCAATTTTTTAAAAAGTGAGCTCAATTTTCTAAAATCAAATAAGACGATTGTTTTCTATTCATATGGTTCCAATTAATATTTGTAGTGAAAAAAAAAACACATGCAAATTTATTTTAAAAAAAAAAAACTCAATTTTTTAAAAAGTGTGCTCGATTTTCTAAAACCAAATAAGACGATTGTTTTCTATTCATGTGGTTCCAATTAATATTTGTACGGTTTTGAATATTATTATTTTTTATTTGTACAGCTTGAGTTTATATATATTTTTTATTTTTATTAGTCTATATTTTCTCTTAGGAAATAAAAATAATAATTTGTCTCCATACCACTGAAACGTAATTATGCTAGATCTATTCATGGGCGCAAGTTCAATCTATCCGGGATGCAAGCCTGATCAGGGTTTTATTTTTTATTTTTAATCTATGATAATTATTTTTTATTTTTAATCTATGCAAGCCTAATTATTTTTTAATCTATGATAATTATTTTTTATTTTTTATTTCTTAACCAAATTAATTTTTAATTTTAAAAAAAAATATTAAAAATCAAACCATACATAACTTAAGAATCTTTTAATAAGTCATTTTTTACGTTGATAACTTATTTAATTATTTGTTGATTTTACGACATTTTTACCATCTAAAACATGTTTGGTAACCATTTCGCTTTCAGTTTTTAATTTATATTTACAAAAATTTTAAAAACTGTCATAAAAACTTGTTTGATAATTTTTTAATTTATAAATGGTTGTTTCAATATGTAAATTTGAAGAAAAAACATAAATTCAAAAAATGAATTTACGTTAGTTTTTAAACAGTACTAACAATTTTTTTTTTCAAATAATTTTTTTCAATGAATTTTTTTCCAACTAATACTAACCGAGGGAACAATTGGTAATGTTATTTAAACCTTAAGGAGGGGATTGTAATTTCTAAAATGTGAAGGGTTTCAATATAATTTAACTAGTGAGAGCAAAATTAGTATTTAAAAAAATTAAATTGCTGAGAAAAAAATTTGTAATGAAACTTTAAACCTCAGAGAGAATATGTAATTTCTAAAAGGTGAGGGAGAAAACTGTAATAAACAGTGTAATTTATCGTGTGTGTGTGTGTGTCTGAGAGAGAGAGAGAGAGAGATGTGAAATGCGTGGCAGGGTGTGTATAAGAGAGTGACCGCGCGCCTGTGTGTGAGAGAGAGAGAGATGTGAAATGCGTGGCAGGGTGTGTATCTCCAACGGTAATAGGCATTTTACCTATCTAAACATTACTATAAAGTGTACATTTTATTTTGCCTATCAACTGTTTCATGTTTTTGCTCCAACCATGCTCTTTATTTTAGCTATTCATCCAAATACTATTAATTTTATAAAATGCCACATCAGCAACAAAGATGGAGGGAAATAATCCTAATGATTAAATACATTTTGCCTAAGCCTTGAAGGCTAGCTACATGTAGCTAGTGAATGTGAATTGAGCTAAAATGCCTAATTACATGCCTAGTGCATTGGAGTTGAAAAAAGTGAGTCATACTAGGCATTTTACCTAACAATCATTATATGCCTAGTGCATTGGAGATGCTCTAAGACAGTAACCGTGTGGAGAAGTTATTTGGGGTAGGGTGTCAGTAAGAGTGCGACTGTTTGGAGGAAGAAATGGGTTTCACCATTTCAACAATGATTTAGACCATTAAAAAATGTATCATTAATAGCACTAATATATTGAGAATGGTAAAAAAAATAATAATAAAATAAAAACAAGACATAGAAAATGAGCGGGACCCACTGACACATCATTAATATTCCCTCTAGTAATTTCTTTTTAGTACTCCCAAGCATTTTTCTTCACCATTTTGTGTGTGATGATTAGGACATAATGTATGGTGAATGATGGAAGATATGCATCAGCGAATCCGGATCTTCCGTTGCCCTTTCCTGCGGCCAAACCCTGTCGCCCTCCAAAACGACGTCGTTTTTGAGGTTTTTCTTCTTCTTCTTTTTTTTTTTTTTTTTTCATTTTTCACACTTTCTTCTTCTCACTGTGATGAAGAACAAAATCAAACTCAGAAACAACAACCCACGTCTCCCTCAAATGAAGTTTGTCTTCCTCTATTATGCATCTCTCTCTCTCTCTCTGTCTCTCTCTGTCTCTCTCACACACAAATCCAAACATTCAACAATGACAGATACATATGTATAATACATATATATATATATATATATATTTCACTCTCTCATTGTCAGCAACCTCTTAGATTTAGATTCAAATCCAAATAGTCAACACCCAAAGATACCATTACAAAACCCACAACCAAGAAAAAATCAAACCCAATATTTGCAGAACCAGGAAAAAATCAAACCCAGTATTTGCAGAACTATGTGTGTTTCAAAAAAAAAATAAAAAATTCATGAATCAAACATTGAACATCTGAACCAAAAACTTCTTCTTCTTCTCACTGATAACTCTCTCTCTCTCCCTCAAAACACATCATTGATTATTCCCCTCAACATTTCAGTTCCGTTTTTTTTTTTAATTGATATTTTCAATACAGATCTGTGAGTAAATCTGGAAAAAAAAAATCTAAAAAAAAAAAAAAAACGAAACTCCTCTTATTCCTCAATCTCCGCTTCTCTCGATCAGTTCATGAATTGTACGGTTAGATTGATCAAGTCAAGAAATGAAAAAAGTAAAGGGATCAAACCGTCAAAAAATGAAAAAGGTTTTGGTCAAAAGCAACCCAACCCAATTCAATAATCAAATCTTTTCTTTCTTTCTTTGTTTTTAAACTTCTGAAGCAATACCTGTAGAACCCTCGAAGTCACAGATGATTATTTTGGTTATGAAAGCCTCAAGGCAAAGTCAAATTTTGGGTAGGCTCTGTTCTTAGCTTTCTTTCTCCCCCTCTCCTTTGTTTTTTTCTTTCTTTTTTTCCTGGTATTTTCAATACCGATCTGTGAGTAAATCTGTAAAAAAAATCAGATTTCAAATCTGAACCAAAAAAAAAAAAAACAAAAGGGGGGAAGAAGAGCCATGGAAGCTGAAGAACTCTGAATCAAAGGCTTGACAACAACTTCAAGCAAACCCACTTTGTTTGTTTCAAAAAATAAAAAACAAATTTGCAGAACTCTGAATGAAATTGAGGGTTTGCTTGAAGTTGGGTCGATGATTGTAAATTTGTTCTGCAAATTACAAATCTGCTGCGTTTTTTTTATAATCAAATTTACAGAACAAAGCCTCAAGGCAAACAAATCTGCTGCCCTTTCTTTTTTTTTTGGGTCGATGATTGTAATGAGGAGAGAGAGAGAGTTATCAGTGAGAGAGAGAAGAAGAAAAAAAAAAAAAAATCCTCCAAAACGACGTCGTTTTGAGTTATCAGTGGGAGAGAGAGTCGTTTTGGAGGACGACAGGGTTTGGCTGCAGGAAAGGGCGACGGATGATCCGGATTCATGCATCAGCACCTATAATCTTTCATTCTTCTCTTTCTCACCTAGGTTACCAAATGGACTGTTGAAGTTATCAAGACCACATGAGGACAAGCTTGCCTAAACTTAGTTGAAGACTTAATGCTAACCCATAATTGCTCTAACCAACCAAATGTGAAGCCAATAGCACTAAAGCAACCCATTCAAATAAATAGTTCATTGTGCTTCCCATTCACCAAACTGAACACACGGTCTAAAGGAGTGATAAGCAAACACTTACATTGGGTATGGCCACTTGGAATGTGATTGCCACCAAGCCTTCAAGACAGAGGTGGTATCACCAGACATTGTTGCCCCGGCGCCTCCTCTAGAAGAAACACCTACTAATGTAGCATGTTAAAGCAGAATTTGCTTTAGTATTTTATGATTTAGCCAATGCATAGAGTTTAACATGGTAAACACAGTCCCCTAGAATCAATGGTTTATCCACAAAATATACAAAGCAATAATTGTTCCTTCATTTTTAATTTTTCTTCCCCATGAATGGGTCACTTGAGGTTGATTCACATTCATCTCAATAAAACTGAGAGCAAACTCAATCTTGGTTTGACCAAAAAAAATAAAAAATTTTGATCATGAACGGTGACAATAGGAACTAGTTGATTTCACAAACAAGAACAATATACATACAGAGCATAGCATAGCAATTAACCATTTCAACCATCAAAGTAACAATCATATAAGAAATACTTATAAAGTCATTACCAATAATGCTTTATTCTCAATCAGGGTAACCCCACTACAGCTAGGAAGCTTCATTGCAGTCACCAAGTGCTTGATCTGCCAATTGATGGGCAGAAAATCCAAAAACTCAAAGAAGTATGTTGCATAGCCACATTCGGGACGTTCCAGCACTATTCTGCATTTAAGTGAAATTGGATAGGAGTAACCCCATCATCCCATAAGTACAACAAATTAAAAAGATGGATTCTAAAGCACAATTTGTGTTGCCAAATACACCTGTTATGTCTTTCAAAAACAAATATAAATGATTGGAGGTCTCGACACCACCCCCACTCAACAGGCCAATTCCGAAATTGTAGATATCTCGCCTAAAATTAAAGGAAGAGTGATTAATAGATGTAAGAACTCACAGCCAATAAAGATGGAAGTGAAAGTAAATGATATTAGGTAATTTCACTATTCACCATATCAAAACTAAGTTCCCGTAATGTTCTTACTTGCTCCACCAGCGATATTAGACAAGCCAAGCAATAACTAGCCTTCTCTCCTTTGTGCATTGTATGGGAGCAAACTTCAATAATGATTGGCGTTGAGAGAAAAGCTGTCCACGCATAATTAGAAATGGCACCAACATGAGAAACTAAGAATTAACAGTATAAGTATTCAATCAAAACATCAAAACAACTGAACTAATAAAGCATACCTATTTGCAAGCCAATGATAATCTACTAAAATAATCAAATATCAAAGAGTACCAAACAAAAAAACAAAAAAAAAAATTGACTAAAAAAAAGAAAAAAAAAATTTCCACCTACCAGCAGTATTTTATAAAATAAATGAGTACATAAATTAATATGAACACATGAACCCTGCCAATTGCCCGCTTAAAAAAATGGTCACAAGCTCCTCGTTTGGATCCGGATAAAAAAAAAATCAAATTTTTTTTCCCCATGAATGGTGACAATAGGAACTAGTTGATTTCACAAACATGAACAATATACATACAGAGCAATTCAATTTTCCAATTCAGAGTAGGTTCAAATGAACATTCGATGTAATAGAGTAACTGAATTCAAATCAACAATAAAATCTAAAAACTAGTAAAATCCATTTTAAAAAAAAAAAGCCCTAGCCGTAAAAATGGAGAGAAGATGAGATTACAGAAAGAGAGTGAGAGAGAACTCCATACCTGTTCATTGCCCTTGGTCATTGCTCCATTTCTGAAATCGAATTTCTAATCGAACAGAACAATAGGATCAGATTAGAATCAGATCATCTAACGAACTAGGGCAGAGCAATTGCATCAGACTATCCAGATCATGAAGGCCTAAAATCGATTCAGATAAAAACAGATCCAAATCATATGGCCTCGATCTCCTTCTCTCTCTCTTCGATTCTCCTCTGTGCTTCGTAAAATAAGAAGTGAAGGGAGGGAAAAGCGAGCGAGAGAAACCACGATCGATCACGATCTCTTGGATTCTCCTCTGTGTCTAGACAATTGTCCTTCTCTCTCTTGGATTCTCCAAATCACGATCGAGCGAAATCAGATTTGGGAAACGAGAGCTAGGGCGGGTTTAAGTAAAATGGAAATAAATAAAAGAAAATGAGAAAAATAAATTGGGCAAATTAATGACAAGTAAAATGTAATTTGGAATCGGGGGTGTGATTTCTTTCATCTCCCATCTCCCATCTCATCAGACAAGCAATCTATGGAATTGCCCCAACTAACCATTGGTGTGAGGAAGAACAATCAGGAAATCGGTTGGCGAATTCTTTGGACTTTTCGGTCTTGTTTGCAAGTGAATATTTTAGCCAACAATCATTCATCCCACTAAAAACATCACCATTAATAACATTAATGCATTAAAAAAGTAAAAAAAAAAAAAATACAACTCCAAGATCAAAACATCACATCATTAATGACGGGACCCACTGCCACCTAATTAATGGGAGCACTAATTAGTACTCCCAAGCATTTTTCATATTTTAGCAACAGAATTGTTTGAGAGCTCGAAAGCTCTTTGGCTCGAAATCTAAAGTCACGTCGTTTTGAATTTTTTTTTTTTTTTTTTTTTTTTTTTTTTAATCTTCTTCCTTTTCTTGACCCAGGCCTCATTCCTCTCCTCTTGCCTCTAATATTGACTACACATCCTCTCTAGCTCTCGCCTCTCTCACCTGTCTGTTGAAGCAGTACGAAGGACGACTAAGGTAAATCACAAATCGAGCCATGTTAGGGTTTATGTTTGGCATCAATTTTTTGTAGAAATTAGTCGATTTTTTTATAGAAATTAGCCATGTTAGGGTTTAGTAGAAATTAGGGTTTATAATAATGTTTGGACGACTAAGGAGGACTAATTTTTTGTAGATATTAGTCAAACTATCATTGAATCTGTTAGCCTCTGTGTCCATTTGAAATGCTAAGTATTATACAATCTGATGGCTTGGTATGTGATAATTTTCATTTGATGGCTTGGTATGTTTGATTGGTTAACATACCCAAAAATACACCTATGTGAACTCTGTGTTGGGTTAACATATTCAAATGGTGAACATATCCTCGATTAATTTCTACTAAACCCCAAAAATACCAAGCCATTTGTATTTTGTTTGTATTCACCTATGCGTCTGTGTTGGGTTAACATATTCAATCCATTTGTTTGTATTCTAATTTGAAAACTATGCTCATCTGTATTCAATACATTTGACATAGCCTCTGCGTCCATTTCTGTTGAAATACAAATCAATAACAGATTGAAAACTATGACATACCAAGTGTATATTTCATTGGTTATCCTCTGTGTCCATTTGATTGAATCTATTAGCATTGCTTGAATCTGTTAGCATTGAATCTGTTAGCATGCCAATTGTATTCATTGAATCTGTTAGCATTGAATCTGTTTGAATCTGTTAGCATTGAATCTGTGTCCATTTGATTGAATTTTACATAAGGCACTTAATATGTTAGAAAATCCAAGATGGTATGTTTTGAGATTAGCACTTAATATGTTATGTCAAAGACACTTGGCATGTTTTGAAAGTTACTGATGAGGAACAGAATGAAAGAGACTTATACAGATGTGTATTTCAGATTTGTATTTCAATATGATGGCTTGACATAGTTTTCAATCTGCAATACACTTGGTATGTGCATTTCAATCTGTTGGCTTAACAGTTTTATGCTACGCTCAATGATAGATGGATATTTATAATTTTACTAGGCTCATTTTCTGTATTATAACAGCTTAAAAATCTTACTAGGCTCAATGATAGATGGCTCTATAATTTTTGCTAGGCTCATTTGAAAATTATAATTTTACTAGGCTCAATACACTTGGTATGTGCATTCCAATACAGTTTTACTAGGCTCAATGACATAATTCATTCATCTTAACAGTTTTATGCTAGACTCAAAGACTTTGAAAGTTACTGAGACATTTGACCAGTTTTATGCTAGGCTCAATGACGTAGTTCATTCATCAATACAGTTTTCAGCCTATGTGATACCATACCTGAAGCAGAATTGTATGTGAAGTCCTTAGATCTCTTTCTCAATGTTATAGACCAAAAGTGACTGTAATAGAATAAGGGACATACAGATACACAGAATTGGTAGGCTTTTTGCAGACTTATGAGTTGACTCTTTCTAAGCACCAAATTCATAAGTAAGTAACAGATTCATAAAACTTAACAAAACCCCAAACAGATTCATAAGTAAGTAACAAATTCAAAGAGACTTATCATCTATTTGAGATAGTGGATCAAATTGTTCTACAACAATGAAAATTATAATTTTACTAGGCTCAATACACTTGGTATGTGCATTCCAATACAGTTTTACTAGGCTCAATGACATAATTCATTCATCTTAACAGTTTTATGCTAGACTCAAAGACTTTGAAAGTTACTAAGACATTTGACCAGTTTTATGCTAGGCTCAATGGCGTAGTTCATTCATCAATACAGTTTTCAGCCTATGTGACACCATACCTGAAGCAAAATTGTATGTGAAGTCCTTAGATCTCTTTCTCAATGTTATAGACCAAAAGTGACTGTAATAGAATAAGGGACATACAGGTACACAGAATTTGTAGGCTTTTTGCAGACTTATGAGTTGACTCTTTCTAAGCACCAAATTCGTAAATAACTAACAGATTCATAAAACTTAACAAAACCCCAAACAGATTCATAAGTAACAGATTGACAGACTTATCATCTGTTTGAGATGGATACCTTTGAAAGATCATTGTAAGTGTCAACATTGATTTTATGCATTCACTTTGTTATCAACATTGAATTTGATGATACTATTTGTTCTAGTGAATGGATCTGACTGGTCCAAGCTCCTTAGGCCCACATCCAAATGATCAAGCCCACTGGATATCCTGCAAACAAGTTCAGCGGGGAACTGGGTAATCCCCTAGCGAACCCTCCGACGAGCAAGTTATGGAGAGAAATAGAGTATAGAGGAGAGATTAGAGATAGAAAAGCTTAACCTTCTTCTTGCCTTCAACGTTTGCTTATATCTTTTGGTAATCATTTCGCTGTCCCTTCCGACCTACACTCCTCGCCGAAAGTCTATGCTGTAGCTTACCTTGTTCAGGGTAAGGGGGCCCTGTTCCGACGGAGAGGTGTTGTCATAATAAATGTTGTGATGGGCTGCATTAATGGTGATGTGTAGTGGCAATAACTTTGCAAATCTTTGTCTGCTGATGTGGCTCGTCCCTCACCTGCCGTGTGCCTGAATGTCATTGGCTCTCTATGCCATGTTGGACTCCAGCTGTCCTGGACCTCACCGGTTGGGTTATGCATTGGGCTCCAAGCGATAGGCTTGGATTGTTCATAGTGATTCGTGGCCTTTGTGGGCTTATACACGTCAGTAGTCTCCCATTTCCGAGTGCAGCTTTAGTCTAACGAAGGGAATATTAATGAAGTAGATGAGGGTGTTAAGGATTGGCAGGATGGAGGTCGATTGGCAGGGGTGACCGAAGAGGTGAACCGACCGGGAGGTGGTCCGACCATGCGAGGCGACCGAGTGGAGGGGCCGATCACAGGGAGGACCGACCGCAGAGGTTTGGCCGAGTGAGAGGGTCGACCACGAGGGGGGCCGACCGCGAAGGGGGTCGATCGTGGGGGTTGGCCGAGTGGGAGGGTCGACCACGAGGAGGGCCGACCGCGAAGGGGGTCGACCGCGAAGGTTGGCCGAGTGGGAAGGTCGACCAGGAGGAGGGGCGACCATGAAGGTTGGCCGAGCGGGAGGGTCGTCCGTGAAGAGGGCGGTCGCGAAGATGGCCGACCGTGAGGAGGGCGGTCGCGAAGAGGGCCGACCGCGAATGTTGGCCGGGCGGGAGGGCCGACCATTGCGGAGGGCCGGGACTGGGAGGGCCGACCGTGAAGGGTGGGGTGAAGGGGCGTGGGGCTCGAGAGGCGGCGTGTCACGTGGTGGTATGAAGTGAAAAAGATAGGGTAAAGGGAGGGGACAGTGAATCGTGGTCGTACACGTGGCAACATCCCGCAGGGGGGAGATTAGGCGCCAGATCAGAAATGAAACGATTGGTCATTATGGGTGTTGAAAAGACAGGTTTAGCGGATGATTTGAAAAGTTTTCAAGCTGGCGAAAATTAATTGGGATCCTTGGAATACGGGCAAACCGTGGGCTTTTGGCATCATTCGATTCACCTACTTGTTTACAAAAAATCAAAACATTCCAAGTGTTAATTCCTTTGTTGCTTACGATACACATCTGCAACACTTTTTCAATTTCCTTGCACCTGCATCCGAAGCGATTCGCAGACATACCATAGAGATGGCCCAAGAAGAAACTGCGCATGTCAGGGTGGATCCACTTAGTGATGATGATGCAGTGGAGTTGACGCAGCAGTACCGGACGAAGAGGGTGGGGGAGTTGGTGGAACGATCCCATGGTTCTACCATGATAGCATCTCCAAGGCCAATCAGCTAGGCAGAACCAGATCACTGGCACACAAAGGCAGACAGATCCACTCTTACACCGGCTGAGTTGGAGGGAATAAGGGGGAAGTACTAGATTCCTTTGGAAATAGGATTGAGGCTGCTGACATCTACCGAGAGGGCGTCTGATGTACGACCGAGGGAATTTAGCTTGTACGAGGAAGCATTGCGGGGAGGCGTGAGGCTACCGCTGCCTCAAGTTGTGGTTGACGTGTTGAATAAACTAGATACGGCGCCAGGTCAGTTGATGCCAAACGCCTGGAAAATATTAATGGCGTGCGCGAGTTCCTGGCCGCAAGTAACGGGAGGGTTGGCCTTGATGGTAGATGAGTTCTTCTCGTGTTACAAGGCCTCCGACCAGCAGGACACTTGGGTTACACTGCAGGCGGTGGCGGGCGCGAGGTCTGATGGCGGGTCTGTCATCTTCGGTAAAAACTGGAGGCCAAGGTGGTTCTTTGTGGCAGCGAACGGCGGGGCGGGAGTTCATACAACTTGGAAAGTGCCCACCAAATCGGTCAAGCCCAAGCTGGACAAGGTGACTGAGGACCGGGTGAAGAGGGTGAGGGATTGAAGGAAGGAGAAAGGAGTAAGGTGGGACGAGCTGGTCCTACCGTCGGTGCTGTTTGCCTTAAACTCGGGACCGCAGCCGTGGGAGGGGGTCCAGAAAGGGAGGAGTTGGAGGTGCAGATGAAAGCAGAGGAGGAGGAGGAAAGGAGGTTGTTCACGCCAGCAGACAAGTATAAGGAGTCCCAACTGGGGCCCGCTTCGAAGCCGATCGTGAGAGAG